CCACAATATACAGAAGACCGATTGAGAAATAAAAAAATAAATTCGAGTACAAAACGTTTAAAGAATATATGAAACTTCCGTGATAGATCTTTCGACATATTCATTGTGCAGATTCTTTTATGATTTTTAGCTTTATTACTGAGGTAATTCACGATGAAGTTACTCTGTGATTTTGCTTTCAAAGAATAATTTTTATATCCTAAGAGATGGATAAAATTATGAACTTACTCCATCGCAGACGTCTCATGTTGTTCGTGTTCCATTCAAAAGGAGGGAAACAAAACGGAAACATTCCATCCCTTGACTCGGACTTTCTCAGCGCATGTTGACATATCAAATAACCGGGCAAATACGGTTGGGTCCCGTTCTCAACCAAACCACTTTCGATAACTTATAGCTCCCCACCAGCTATCCACTTGCTAGGTTCCTATTCGTATGTCATATTTTTTCTTTTTTTGGACGTTCTATATATTTTTATATTTCACTTCCTTTGCCCTCGACACTCGACAAAATTGTTACGGAGAAATAATCTAACAAATTAGACATTAGATGACGTACCTGCTATGGCATTTTTAAATTTTGCTCATATTAACGTCGGAAGTTGCATGTTGAACAGAATTTGAATTAAATTGAAAGCAATTGAAATAAAATCGAATGATATGAAAATATATATGCAAGTCTGAGATTAAACGCCTATACGATATCATAGCTGATATAACAATTGCGATTGATGAGTAAGGTTTACGGCAGCGAGTTCAACTTCCCGCGGGCGACTTCTCTTTTTTGTCTTGGTTGCATTTGTTGAATAATTTGGTGAGAATTTAGATTATATATAAATGTGAACTGAATATGATGTATGAAATATTACATGGAAGATATCCAAATTTATCTTCGAGTAACTCTTCGCTAAGTGTTCAGAGGAGATTTCTTACGAATACTCCTGTGTGGTCTTGTCGCTCGGATTCAGAGCGCCAATACGTGGGAATTTCTCTAAGAGACATTTTCCAACTAGGTAATCCAAAATGCGGGTTTAACATCGCATAGCAGATCATTCGGATATGCAAGAACATCTTCTGCTTATACACTATTTGCCTTATTCATATTTTGTTCATAACAAACATATATATTTGCAAAACCGTTATTCCTACTCTGCTCAAATAAACAATAATAATAAGAGTTCAGTCTTCATGCTGTCGTTGGGGTGTACACAACCAACTTCAGCGTGTTACTCAATTGAAATAAATAAAGAAAAGAGTTAAACATAACCTAGAAAGCAAAAAATTAAAAAAATCTTAGTAAAAAAGCATCAATATTTCATCATCACGTGAAATTTTGAATATCATCAATGGATTTCTATAAAGTTACTAGATCATGGATATAAATTTAAGTTAACAGCACGTTACTCAATTTAACGTAAACAATTTCATCACCAATGAGTTAAACATAACCTAGAAAGCAAAAATCAAAAAATTTAGTAAAAAAGCATCATTATTTCATCATCACGTGAAATTATGAATATCAGCAGTGGATTTCTATATAGTTACTGGATTATGGATCTAAATTTAAGTTAAAAGGTCCAATCCATATCAAATACAAACAAAAAAAAAAAAATGAAATAAATAAATAATAATAAAAGTTAAAGTCAAGTGCTGCAGTAGTGTGTGCGCATGTGTATGGCAAGGGCGCCGATCGCAATTGTATTTTTTTCATGCTTTAATAGTAAGGTAATTAAAGAATGCAATTCGACATTTTGAAGTGTGTCATTGATTTAGGTCAAAATTTGAGACTTCCGAAGTTAGTTCTTATTTCGTCTTATTTCAGCAGAGCATTCATGCTGTGCCGCAGGATAAAAAAAAATTGGAACCTGAAACATAGGGTAAAAAAAAGAAAACGTTCAATCAAACCTTTCATGAATTGACACTGTGTAAGTCCATTTGCGAGGTCTGTTGTCCGTACTGTACGCCGTTCTTGGGTCCCTTTTAATTCGTCAATAACCGTTCCCAGTCGTCCTACTTTCACTCGCGCGTACACCCACTCACACTCCGCCTCAGCGATGGAGTACACCGCTTAGTCACACATTTTTAGCCAAGCACTTTTAATTTTAATTTTTATTCTTTTTGCCGTCTTAACTAGTCATGTATTCACTAAAAATGTATGAAAATATTCTACTAGGAATTGTTTCAATGAAAATTTCCAAAAAAGTTAGTGGATATCCAAAGCCTAGTTTTTGAATTTAGCTTATCACTTGTATATTTACGACAGAAAAGAACACGATGCCATTGTCTAGTTGCTTACACGCGACGTATTGTTAAGATTCTGTGTTGTTTCCAAATTGGCATTGATGATGGGCGTCCACGGTTTCTGTTTATCATTTATCTATGTTTTTTTTGTTTACATTTTACTTCAACGGTAAATTATTCCTATTTGGTGACGTCACTCAGTTTAGTCTTCTTCCTTTTCTTTGAAACTCCAACACATCCAAGCGCACCGATAGCACTGAACACATTCTGCACATTTTGCACATATATGTGCAAAAGCTAACACATGCATCAACTACAAAGAAATTTATTATGTAACTCTGTCGCTGAGTTAATGCAAGTTGTTTTCCATAAGCCACAAAGACGTCCTTAATTTACATTCGATCACGAATTTATTTTGCACACGTTTCCAAAATTGGATTTTATATCTGAATGCTTAATAAGACAATAAATGTTTTGTTTTATGGATCGTGTACGGTGCACTTGGTCGCCAATTTTCACTTTTTTTATAGTTGGGGTTGGGAGGCAAACAAATAATCTATCTATTAATTTGGAAGCACATTTTGCACCAAGGCTTTGCATTTATTTTGAGTTTGTATCTTGTCTTAAAGGACATATTAATTAATGGTCATACAAATAATTTAGAGTAAACAAATTACGCTTAATTAGTTGTTTTTGAAGTGAAAAATAAAAAATGAAGAAGAAAAGTTCTTAAAAGAACAAAAATCAAAAACGTATATTTACATGATTTCTCGAATGCATATTATAAACATGGAGATAAATCTTGCTCGACATCATAGTTCGATGGTGCGTACAAATATGCATAAGAAAAATGAAACCACTTGTGTAACATTGCGTTAGGTGGAATTGTTATATCGAGTGCTATTGTTACTAATAACAAAAATACTGTAGAATATAGTAAGTCAAGGTTTTACTCAATATGTTTTTATAATGCTATCGCAATTTTTTCTAATCATAATATGGGATCTTTCGTTAAGTTTATATTTAAAAGCAAATGTTAGGTGTCTTTCAAACTGAGAAATTGTGCAAATTGTCTTTGATCTGTTTTCGATCAAGCATGTAAAATTATATACACGCTCTCTTGGCTAATCGTTAACGGCCCTTTTATTTATTGAGAAAAAAACCTACGCGTTGACTTAGTCAAGTTTGTTTTAACAGTGATTAAGCGTAGTAGTTAGTGAAGGTATAAAAAATAAAGGTCACAAAACATTATGTTTAATAAACCACGAGGACGAAATGAAATTGGAACAATAGAAAAATGGAATATATATTCTGAGCGGTATTAATAAATCAAACATTAAAATAAGTTTAATAAATCGATTTATTTAACATCTATTGTAGAAAATTCTTATAATGTTTCCATCTAATGATATTGTACCTTAAAATTGGAGAAAATTGGAATTAAATTGTAATCAATTTTTTTAATTATTTAATTAGTAATTCAATTGTATTTATGCTGGTATTATTGTTACTAAAAGAAATGCTTAAATTATATATACAAATAAATTGTAAAGTTATTAAGGGATGTTATAAAAACATTTTTTATTGTAAGACATTTATAATACACGCAGAAAATGTGCAATTTATTGAAAAATTGATTAAATTAAGTAAAAAAATTATAAAATACATTAATTTTGTTTGATTTTGAAGTTGGAAAAGTTTATTTCTATGTTTGTTTCTATTTGACATTCATAAGAAATTTATAACGTAATAAATATCTCAGGTTGAGTAGAACGCCTGTAAGCATAGGTGCAACGCATTAAAAATAAACTTGCTATTTGATGATTGAGATGATATCCGTACCTAATGGTAGCAAATTTGCATTTTACATAAACTTTCCAGTATTTTCCTCAGAGAACGATATTATAAAGATAGCGATTGATAGTCCTAACAGCGACTTCAACAAAAGCAAATGCGTATATCAAAATCAGTTAGGCTATTCGTGGTGAGAATATTTACTTTGCAAAGTTCTTCGATTTTTATTTTCGTGAACTACAAACATTCGGCAAAGCAGAGATGCCACAATCATATATATAATAGTTTCAAATCCACAAAATAACGGCTAAATGTTGGAATACCTTTTTAGGATTTTGCGGTTTATTGAAAGTTTGCTATTCTAAACTAAGCAAAACAGAGGGAGGAAGTATAAAAAAATCGCAGCATAATTTATAAGAATTCCAATAATTTGCATTTTTTTAAAAGAAGACATTTCTTCGCTTTATGTAAGGAGTACACACAAATATATTTTTTTTTTTTTTTTCATATATACAAGAAGCTAGGAAGTCCATCATTCAAATTTTACGGAACTGTTTAATACAATAACAATAGACGGTAAACAAATTAGAAATTTTAAATAAAAAAGGAAAGAACAAGCTAGGATAATTCTATTATTCAGTTTGTTTATGGAATGCAGATGCATATACGCAGATAATCTAATCTTTCTGTTTGTGATTGATCTCTTCCGCTCGCACTTCACCAAAATTACTTCTTTTCACAGTGAATGCTTCCACATCAACTTACGGAGATCGAAGCGTTGCCACCTTAACTTGTAATTTTTTTACTGACTGATGAAAACGAAAAAAGAAATTTTGGCAACTCTATGCAAAGCGATTGTACCGTCGTGAATAGTAATTGAAAAAGGACCCAAAGAATTTTAATTCAATACAAGTGGTTCGTATCTCCTTTGCTCTTGGTTTGTTAAAATCAGTGCTTAAGTAATGGTACTCTTATTGTAATTATTAATTATGGAACGTTAACAGGTTAAAAATGAAAATTCAGTGGAGAATAGATAAGTTCGTTAAAGGTATGACTTGGTAACTCTGCGCAAAGCACCCACCCGCCATTAGTAGTCCTTATTAGAAAGAGCAAAGAATAAAAGATAATTTCGATAGAAACTGTGGCAAAATAAAAATGGTACAGACTTAATTAATTCTATGTAATCGCGGCTTCAAGGAAAGTAGTTTCATCTCGTGACAATGGAAGTCAATTTATGGAAATTATAACACAACTAGCATCGGAGCAATTTTGTTTAAAAAGCAAAAAAAAAAAATTTGTAAGCGATAATAGGTGACGGCGACTATATAAATGTCACTTTGTTGCTTTTGAAAATGAAGGTAAGAAAATATTCGAATTTCCTTTTGACAACTACAACATTGCATTAGAGTTACGTGAAGTATAGTAACAGTAGGTTTTAAGCAAAAAAAATGGACAAAGCCTCTGATCACAAAAAAATGTGTAAAAACAAAAGGCATGCGGCTATATAGATGTCACTTTGGCACAAACTGCTTTTTAAATGGGAGGTAAGCAAATCGTCATTTTTTTTTTTCAAGAGATTATTTAATGGCTGGAAACGTGCGCAGCTAAAGTACTGCGTGGTATTTTAAGGTTAGATTTCAGCTAACGGGAAATGTAGACGTCAGTTCGTATTCATGGCTTTGGTTAAGGCTGACCTCGTTTCAGCAAATTTTGATTTATTTCCATCGTCTTTCCACACAGTTTTTTAAATTATTTTCTTCTTGACTTTTTTACAGTGTATTTGAAGAAAATCATCTCAATGAAGGGGCGTTATGCAAAAGCATGGGATGATGATCATTTTATGCACTATAAAATGCTCTAAAGCAGCATTATTTACTGCCTTCGCTAACAAACATACGCAAATGCTAAAGAATGACGATAATGTCAATAAACTTCATCTTAATACTTACGTTTGAGATGTTCAAGTTGTGCAGAGTGATTAGCGTAATATGATATGATGCCCCTAGGAGAGCTTAAGTCTTGGAATTTTGATGTTACAATCACGCATCGAACACCGCAATCCCAATTCATGTTTCGAGAAGCACATAGCTACGAAAATTAAAACTGTGTCATGGAAAAAACGATCTAAAGATCCCGTTGACGATTACTAATTGATATTAACATAAACCAAAACTGGTTGTTATGATTTGAATGTTATTGCAATTGTACACCGAACTTTCGGAGTGATTTCCACAAAACCGAATGGCTACTTCTTTTGTATCCTTAAATTCACTTTTGCGCTTCCATGTGCAAATGTTTCTGAAAGTGAAAACATAGTTTAATTTTGAAGGCGGTTCCAGATTGGTCGGTATGCCGCTTGATAATTCCGGAAGCATTAGCTGCAACCATTTATACCAACGCAAATTCTTGGCTGTTCTATCCAGGAATTACAGTTATTTGAAAAGGTAAGTTTATTATTTTAGAAGGGACTGACTCTCAGCAATATTTAAAATCGTGCGGTTAAAGGCAGGCAGGAGTGTATGGTTATGCTTTGAAAAAAAAAAACTAGTGTTAATGTAAGTGGCAGATTGTTCTTAAACGTGAATTTTCTCGGTTTCAGATGAATGGCGTCGGGGATGAAAGACGGGAAAAGAAAGCCATCAACTTTTGCTTAAGCATAACTGCGGAATTATATTAATATTTTTCACCACAGTAACTAATTTTCGAAGCGGAGAAAATGTAGTGCATTACGGACGTAGCGGTGAGTGTAATAAACAGCACCTTGATAGAATCAATAAAGATTTAGAACTAAGACATCGAAATTGTTAATACGAAAGTACAATTATAGCCGCATAAATAGTATTCTTTTTCTAAAGCTGAAATGATGCCCATGAAATCCAGAAATACTTTCACTAATTAATGATAATTTATTAAATTAGATATGTCAACTTTTTTATTATACGTCTTGAAGAAAAATTTATTATTAATTTATATTTGATATTATTATTGTTGCTATTATTGTTACATTACCAAATACCTGCAATGTCCAGAAACATATATCGGAGATTTTATAAAATATTCTCCATTGGTCCCAAGAATGCAAGGAATAATTGTTTTAAGAAGTACTTTTGTATTTAACACTAAGGCATACCAGATTTGTCCTTCTCAGTCCAAGAAATATGCATAAGAGATGATTTCAAGGCTTTTTTGATCATTTATTTTTTGCTGATGTATTCCTAACTTAAATCGAGATATCATGCTTAAGATTAAGCTACTACAAATTCGCTATAAGACATGTACAGATTTCTTACTTGTTTGAAACGATATATTCCACTCTTTAATGAGTAGAAAAGTGGTTGAACACCAAGAAGTAATACGTTTCCTTACATCACTCGCGTCACGACAAGACCGATAGAATTGCGGAAAGCCCTGAGTACATTTAACAAACCCTGAAAGCTATTGAACAATGTGGTTTTACTAAAATTATAACATGAAGTGTGGCTTTGCGTTTTAATGAACATTAAAAAAATAATAACGAAACGAATAATAATAATATTTATTAATAATATTTAATAATAATTATAAATAAATAAGAGTAAGTGTTTTCAAATATGATTTCCTTATATCGGTGAACGAAACGCACTTAAATATCTCCGTTGAAGCGCCTTATGTGTCGATCACATTTGTACAGCAGTTTGCGGATTGGCCCAGTTTTTGTAGACAATATTGGTGTTGTTATATTGACTCTTCCCACTTTCCATTGCCGCTTGATTAAAAAGTAATTTGAATAAATTGTGAGTTAAACTGTGAAGAATTTTGAAATTAAAAAGGAAAAAAAATAATTTAAAAGTAATTGAAAGGGTAAATTCATTTTTGAAAAAAGTATATTTGCACGCTGTTGTTGCACTACATGTGTAAACTTAATCGTGTTAAACATCGCACACATAAATATATAGTTGTAAAAGCGATTTCTTTGTATTTACGTACTTAAAATTTGTCTACCCATTTTTTAAAATAATTTTTAATGAATAAGGAAAGTAAATGTAGAAAGAAAAGTAGGGAGTTTTTATGCGTCTTCAAATTGGAAGAAAAATTTTGTAAGAAGTGCATTAAATGCAAACTAAAACAATATTGAGAAGAATTCTTTCAAATCAATGGTGAACATGTGCCTGCACTTGGGGTTTTAATCAAAATTTTCTGTGTTCTTCTTCGTAATCTCAATTGGTGGTCGGCGTCCTGACAAGGTTCTATTACGCACGAGCGTGCTCGACTGACATATATTCTCATACTCCAAGAAGGAATAATTCCTTGATATTCAAATCCTACCATGTTTTAAATTCATGATTTATATTGACGTACCACCAAAGAAATTATACCCCAAGTGACAAGATCGCATAAACTTTAACTAATATCGGGAAAATCGCAGTATTAGGCACCCTTGTCAAATCTTCATCACCGATTCCCCTTGTGTGCGGTCCTGCCAACAAATCAAAACCTCTATTTCGGAAATTTGCTAACAGATTGACGAAGCGAGATAATGAAATTCCTTTACCTAGTCAATAAAACAAAAAAAATGGTGGGTGATAAAAACTGATAAAATATATCATTTTTAAAAGGACATTCATACATAATAACCAAAAGCAAAATCATTCATCAGCGATAATGGTAGATTCTGTAAGGTTATGTCGACCACTGGTAGTTGCTTTTGCCTGTTTCCAATGCTCACTATTAAAATTAAAAAGCTAAGTCACATATTACGCAATCTAGCGACCAACGCTTATTGAAAAAGAAAAGGACATTTTACGAAAAGAGTTACTTATCTGGGTTAAATTTTCGTTTGGCTTTGTCGTAGGCGACCAACGTTTGTATTGAAATTACGCAATAACGGAAATAATGAAGAAAATCACAAAAAAAAATGAAAAAAAGGTAAAATCAAACAAAATATTGGGTTAACTATTCCGTTGGGCGCCACTTTGTCACGATTCTGTGGCCAACGTTTAATTGAAGAATTGCAGATTGGAATTAAATTGCAAGTTATTAAACTATCACCTGTTCGTTTTGCGTTGGGCGCCACTTTGTAATGTTTTAATTACAACGCACAACGCAATCAAAAATTATATTGGAAAAAGGAATTGAAAAATGAAAACTGTATTTAATTACACCGGGTTCTAATTCCGTTGGGCGCCATTTTGTAATGTGCGACCAACTTGTATTGAAAAAAGGAAGGAAGAAAAAAAGTGCAATATATATAAAAGGGCTGAGCATCGGAATGGCAAAGAAATTTCTGCGTCAGTCCGACCCAGAAAATTCCCTTGCTCCAATTTTTCGTTAATGCTATAAGAACCTCTATATATATAGAACAAAAGGTTCACTTATTGCTGTTAGTGGTACATAAGTGTAGGTATATTTAACTTATTTATATGTCTATATATATATATATATGTTATTTATTTCTCACATCGCGCACAAGGTAATTCATTCGACGGCTGAATAATGGTATGAAAGCCATCTAATACTTGCATTTACATCCACACATCTACACATGTCATTTTTTTAATATTTCTTACAAAGCGTTAATTTTAATATTTGCTAGATTTCATTTGTTCATTTTCTTCGTTTAGGCAATCAAAAAAAAAAAGGAAAGTAAAGCAGTAGCAAAACTTTGAATTTTCTTCTCTGAAAAGCTTTCTTTAGTGCACGCAGAACAGTTGGCGTGTTCTAGGGCCTATCGTTCAACTGGGCATGGGTCGATTAGATAAGAGTGTCAAACTTTCAATTTCTCTTTTCCTATTTCTGTTCTCATGCACAGACTAATTGATTGAACATTAGAAACTGCATTATGGTTTTCTTCTTTTGTTTCTTTTTCCTTTTTTTTTTGCATGGCGTTATATTTGTGCAAAGGCTTATTTTGTTTAGTGACCAACATATCTTAAAATGGATGTATATATGTGAATACATGAGTGCGTACATCTATATATTGAAATAGAAGAGAAGCTTGTAATATAATTAGTAGACGAATTTTCCTTATTGAAAATTCTTACTTTCAGCACCACTTATGTAATTTAGCGGCTAATATAGGTGTATTATATTTAATAGGACTGCGTCTTCAAATAAAACAGTGTGTAAGAGAGTTTTTTTTTTGTAATAAAAGAACTTTCCGTTTTAAGTTACCTTAGCGCGCCGTTTGTGTAATGTAGTGACCAATGTAGGTTTATTATATTTAATAAATGATTTAATAAAATTACGAGATTTATTTTTTCTCGTTTAATGTTTTCGTTGGGCGCCATTTGTTTAACGTAGCGACCAATGTAGGTATTGTGAGGACGTTTCGTCCCTTTTCTATTGCTGGGGCACCTCAGCGTCCCAGGGAAGGATAACGCAAGACATTTGAATTCGCAAGGACTCTTTTTATTATTCTTAGCATTATTTCTTCACTTTGTTTTATCATTCACACCACTCTTTAACACGACTCTCGAACTTCGACTCATTTATTTCGACTCGCTTACTTCGACTGACTGACTTCGACTCCTCACTAAAAATTAAAACTATCCTATTCTATTCTTATTCTATTCCTTTGCTATCTTAATCTATTCTTATTCTATTCCTATGCTACCTTAATCTAGCACTACCTTCCCCTCACCAGAGACAGAGAATCCGTGAGACCAAAACGAGGGACGACTTTGGGTCCTCACAGTATATTATATTTAACATTTATAGCTATATGACAGTTAGACAAATATGAAAACTGAAGATAATAATATAAATATATATATATATATTAAATCTAAACACCATAAGATACGAATGCTCAATATGAAATTCATCATTACTATCGGACATCTGGTCTGCTTGTTCTGCAAGAAGCTCAGTAAATACCCAACATAAGAGTCCTCCAGGGTCTGGAAAACCTAAAAGATTGGCGGCGAACTTGCAAGATAGAAGAGATGCGCGATCTCGGATTCGAGAATTAATGGTTCCAGCTCTCATCGGGGCCGTATCGTGACTTTCAAACTTGTAAAAGAACATATCAATTGCAGCAATTATTTTCAAATATAAATATCAAACATAATAATGTTAGAACTTGTATTTGTGCATCCTTTACGCTTCAATGCTTTCAATACATGCTCAGTTAGAGTGTTTTTATATCCGTCGTCTGATGTTTTACTCGCACGGGTTACTCCAACCAAAAAGGTAGAGAACCAATTGTTTGCAGCTTCACCTGGATCAGTACCTACATCTAGGTTTGGTTCTTTGGCCTCTAGCTTATTTATCCGAATTAGATTTAATGGGGTTAGTTCTACTTCCCTTTTTCCCGATTTCTCGTTTGCATGGTATCCAGTCTTCGTTTAGTGTTCCTTTCCATTCACCCACCATTTTAAGTAAAAAATCAATAGCAACATTTATGCTCTTTGACATCGAAGCTTAAATCATTGACCTCAAGTATGGAGGTGGCTTTCCGGTTGCAGTATGATTTACTATTGTCACTATTGATCACCTATTGTCCTATTGGCAAGTAATTTCCCTTTCGTCAAATCATATATTTCTCTTCTTTTCATTATCTCTTCACCCTTCTTTATTTACGTTGAAATTAGTAGTTGTTTCCATACTGAAATTCACTCGTTGGATTGCTTTTCAACGAATCTCCTTTCCTACTCAACTGTCTTTTCCTCCTTGCAAGAAATGCTTCGACTGAACTCTTCCTTGGGTTTGTTTTGATCTGTCAATCTTAATGTTTGTGATTGGCTTAGTCAGTTTGGATAAAATTGCGGAAAACCCACTCTTCCGTTATGCAGTCAGATTTTGACTTCTCTCTTTTCTTGATTCCTCTCTTTAATCTCAACTGTTATACATAAAGGATGTAACGTTTCTGGCGCAATCGCGGTAGAGCGGTTTGTGAAACTCCTTTTTCTTCTCTTGCCCGCCGCGCCACATTACAATAATAAAAAAACACAAAAGAACTAACAAACAGAAAAAATTAAGGTAAACTAAATTAGCACGTCGTTGGTCCGGTATATCGTCCGTAGGTCTGTACTTTGTCCATTGGTATCTCTCCACAGTCCCCCTACCTCCCCTCACCTGCACACCACACCATACCCCATGCTTCTCTAGTAAGCATGATTTCGCTTTTTTTTTCCAGTCACTCACAATCGCCTTTATTTATTTATTTATTTATTCCACCTATACGAGAAACTCAACTAAAACAAAATGGCAGTCGAGTTCAATTGACCCTTAACTAAATCTTAAAATTAATTAATAATAAAACTTAGTATAAGTACAATAAAACAAATAAGGAGGAAAAAAAAAAAAGCATGTACACAATTAGCATAGAGCCCCACCCACAACCGATACAGGACCAAATTGCAAGTGAACCCCTAAGCCATCGCAAACATGCATAAGCTTGGCAACCGATAATTGTTAACAACAAATTAATTTTCGACTCATAATGACATATTTAAGGTTAAGTCAGTTTAAGTACGACATAGGTAAATCGCGCGTATTAACCAATGTTGCTTTAATGGACTTTAAAGAGTCCGTTAATGAAAATAAATGATAGACGTCATTTAGGTTCTTGCAAACAACTCTGAGCGGGTTAAACAGTTCAAAATTATATTTGCATTTACTAAGCTTTATCAACATAAAGTGCCTAGAGAAGCGGTTAGGGACATTAAAGCCTACCTCACGAAGTAATGCGGGCGAATCAATTGCACCATTTATTAATTTGATTAAGAAGGAAACCCCAAGAACAAATCTACGTTTCTCGAGTGACGGTAAGGATAACAGAAGCAACCTATTTTCATAGGGTGGAAGAGGGGAAATCGGATCCCAACCCAAATTCCTAACGGCAAACAGCAAGAATTGCTTTTGTATAGATTCAATTGAATCTACGTAGCACCTATATGAAGGAAACCACAGAGGCATAGTCAAGTATAGGTCTAACCAAACACGTGTAAAGCCTTTTCGTAATATAAGGATCATCAAGCTTTTTGGACCACCTCTTTATAAAACCAAGCGCGGACCTAGCTTTGCTTAACGAGGACTCAATATGCAAATTGAAACGTAACCTATAATCAAATAGAACGCCTAAATCTATGAACGAATCGACATCTTCCAACCTGTGCGAATCAATGAAGTATTGAGTACTGAACGACTTCCTTCTTAAGAAAGAAAGCTTCTTACATTTATTTAGATTTAGTTTCAGAAGATTGAGAGAGCACCATGCAACCAAGTTGTTCAAATCACTTTGAAGATGATGTGATTGCGATTATAAGGAAAAAGAAGAAAACAGTTTCACATCATCAGCATACATTAAAATCTCACTGAATTTAATCACGGAGGGCAAACCATTGATGTATAAATTAAATAAAACAGGTCCCAAGTGGCTACCTTGAGGTACGCCAGACGTCACGGGGAATTCATCTGAGGTACTGAGGTTAAACAAAACCCTGAATGATCTACCATGCAGATAAGAGCTTAACCATTCCACTAAGAAGAGAGGAAAGCCAGAGGTCTGGAGTTTAAATCTAAGTAGTCTATGATTAACCATATCACACGCTTTGCTAAAGTCAGTGTAAATGACATCAGTGCGAGAACCACTAGAAAAAGCCTTGAAAACATGAGAAGTAAACAGATTGGTCACCGTAGATCTTCTCTTTCGAAAACCATGCTGGAAATCTGAAATATACAATTTCATGGAAAAGGCTATATGCTGAGCCACAATTCGCTCGAACAGTTTAGGTAAGACACTCAACTTGGCAATGCCTCTGTAGTTCTCTACAAGTTGCCTACTACCACTTTTGTGAATAGGAATAAGGAAAGAAGTCTTCCAACACAAAGGGAAAACACCTAAATTCAAAGACTTATTAAAAATCTTTGAGATAACATCACAAAGCTCGCCAGCACAAGATATAAGTACACATGAGGGGATCCCATCAGGTCCAGGCGAACAATTATATTTTAGAGGGCTCAATCCTTCAAAAACGTCATTTTCAGATATAACAAAGTTAGGAATTGAAATCGGATTTGGATAATTTACCGATAAATCAAAATTGGCAGTTGAAAAGTTCTGTCGGAAGTATTCCGCAAAGAGATTTGAGGTTTCAAAATCATCCGAGGACTCGGAGCCATTAAAAGACACAAACGACGGATTTATGGAAATTTTTCTTTTGGAATTAACGAACTTAAAAAAGTATTTAGGGTTAGCAAACAAGGAGGATTTAACAAACTGAAGGTATCTGCAGTAGTATTGGCGGTTGAGGGAATTAAATTTATGCCTTGCAACAGAGTAAGCGAAATAGTCGAAAGAAGAACCACTTTTCGAAAATTTTTTGAAAAGCTTGTTTTTCCTATTCTTGTAGTATTTAATTGTTTTATTAAACCACGAGGGACCCTTGCTTCGAGGACGGGACTGCTTGATCGGAACGGATGCAGAAATAGCTTGATTTAATATATTGTAGAACGACGACAATAAGCTATCAATGCTTCCCTCTGAGAAATCGAGCACAATATGAGAAAGATGTGATTTTAGTATGGAAACATTGATTTTATGGAAATCATAAAGTTTATATGAAAAATTTGAATTTTGAACGTTATAGAAGTTCAACGTACCAACATACTTGTAATGAAAAGAAACACCCAATGCTGGATGATATGGATCCTCAGGTAAACTAAACGGAAGACAACGATTAACACAAACCTCAGGAAAATTTGCAAAGCAGAGATCAAGAAATCTACCATTGCAATTAGGGGTACCATTGTATTGAACTAAATTATTATCAAATCATTCATTGAAGAACACAACGGCTTTATCAGCTGTTGAGGAAGGAATCAAACAGTCAGAACTACCACTGTAAAACCAATTGACTTGAGGTAAATTGAAGTCACCCAACGCAAGGACTATATCGATAGGTTTAGATTGCTTGGCCACTTCACAAATGAGGGCGGCCTGTTTCTTATACACAGAGATATCCGAATTTGGGGGAATATAGGAGCAGGTCACATATAAGTGTTTATTAGGAAATTTCACTCGAATGGCGATAAATTCAACATCGGGAGTAGTTGGAAATTCAAACGAATAGGTGGGGAGTGCCGAAGAAATAGCAATTAAAACACCACCACCATTGCGATACAAACGATCGTTTCTGAAAACTGAATGTAGATCCGGCTTTAACCAAGTTTCAGTGAAGACCAAACAGGAAAACTCCGTGCTCACTGAATTTAGGAAGGTAGAACGAATTTTTGAATTTAGGCCCCTAACATTTTGATAAATGAGAGAAAATGAGGGTGAAGAAATATTTAGTTTTTTGAAGGGGAAAGAGCTACTGCATTCGCATTACGGGGACGGTCCCGAGGGATAAATTCCTTAATTAAGGATCCAACCGGCCACAATGGTTTATTTAAAATCAAATCCATATTTTCGGTCGGAACTAAAATTTTAAAAGATGAGATAGCTCTAGATTGAGAAGGACCCAGTTTGAAAATACTCGCTTTAAATTAACAGAAGGGGCTTTCGCTGCCAGTCTTGACACAAATATTGCCTTTCTGAGAGGAACTGCCTTCAAGCATATGTCATCAGTACTGGGAGCAGCAGGGTTAACGGATGGGGAGTTATGAGCTGGGGAAAATATAGAGGGGGTAACCACACTTGCAAGAGCAGCTTGTGCGACCTGCTCAGTTTGGCGACCAGCATTTACACTCGAACAACGAGGAGGAGAGGACGATTTACTATTACCCTTATTAGTTTTGGGCGATGACGCCTGAGAAGATTGAGTGACATCTGTGGGAGGAGATACCCTTGCCACTTCAGCATAGCTCAAGCCAGAAGGACTTCTCGGCCTATTTGTAACATTTATGTTACCAACCGACTCAGCCGTAGCAGAAACGCTAACATTATTTGTAGCCTTTAGGGAATCGCTAACTTGCACCAACGAAACGGACTTAGGAGGTGACGAACAACACGCTACGGTACGCGTTGAGACTTTGTTAGCTGGAGAGGAAGATGACTGCGCAATATACCGACATTCATC